GTTCTCTCCACCGATGTCGTGTGGGCGTTGAGGTGCCCGATACGGAAATTTGAGTGACGCGTAGGTTCGACAATGCTGAATATCAAAAGGAAGAATTGGGCTCAGGTGTTCACGTTCGTAGCGTCAACAAGTTCACAGATCTGTCACTGACCGGCACAGTGCAGTACGCACACCACACAACGGCGAACGGAATGATGGCTCAGTATCTTGTTTTGCGGCCGTCCATTCCAATGACGGTCTCGTGATTCTCATTGGACGTGTGATCACGAGGAACACATTAGAGAACAAGTCAAGGCAGGTCAGCAAACGGGACCAGAACGCAAATGGGTAAGTAGGTCAGCAGCGCACATTCACACACAGACACACATGTCAATGCACAAGTGTCGGAAAGGACGGCCTCTGCGGCAAGGCGAGTGGCCGGCACGGATGAGCAAAACAACTGGAGATCAAAAGTACATAGACGGAGTAAGCAAATGAATTGGGGAATTGTCATAAGGTCAAGTTAAAATCCCTGTCGGTCGAGCGCTTTCTTTTACTCGTCGTCACGGGTGTCCACCTTGAAGTTCAGTTCTAATAGATCCTAGCTCAGTGCGTTTTAACTAAATTTCGCGCAGCGCGAAAATGCTCAGCTGCCTCGTGCCGACGCTGAGTCCTGTAGAGTCAAACTGACCATCTGATTTTGTTTGACAAAAGTCTAGATGTGATCAGCTGATTAGTTGTCTCCTTGTCGCGTTTTGGAAGGTGTACAATTCATGTAGCTCACGAATTGTGAAGCTTCCTTTGTGAACAAAAACTCGGGTCCCCGGATTTCATCTTGGCTGCACATGCAACCGTTGGCAGACTAGGGAGATTCCCCGGGATTTCCGTTGACAACAACATCCGAATTTGTTGACTTGGAAATGACGAGAACTGAATAACGAGTCACAGGAATAAACAATGAACTCTTTTCACTTCCCGCCTTGCTTGGAGTTCATTATAGAGTAGTTCGAGAATTTTCTGGATTAATTAACTACTTGACTCAGGTATTTAGCTGTTCAATTCGCTTATTATGTACCGCAATCTTGTCTCATTTATTGCCGTCCATGATCAATTTGGGCACAATTGTAGGACTATCCCGTATCCTCACTGTTAGTTTGATGAATGACACTGTAAACAGTTCAGGTTTCCAATCAAGAAGTGGTGTTTCTGCCTCAACTATGTAGACACGCATTGAACTGTTGAAGGCCGAACAGGTTCAGCATTGGTTCGATGGAGAAATGACAATTCCAAACGAATGTCTTTTGAAAAATAAAACCAAAACTCATGAAGTGGAGGTAGTTTAGTCATGTCACCACCGAGGTGTTTCCAATTCAAAATGAAGTGCACACCGCACATAACACGACTCACATTGTGGACGCAAAGTTTTGACTGTCCGTCATCATTAGACCCCAATGAGTGACAAATGAATCTCAGTGTAATTTCCCAAAGACTGGAAGATCAGACTTCTCTCCACGGACCTCAGTTGGCATTTTAAGTCATTTCCCGCAAAGCAACCCGCCTCCACATGTTTCATATCATTCCAAATATAGCCTAGATTAGCCATTGTGCGAGGCTTCTAACTGGAACATCTCTCAAACAAGAGAGACAGTTTAGCGAACATTTGGGTTTCAAATTATCCCCAAGTTACTTTGCCGATACGTGTTCATCGCCACATCCGTTTCGATTCACTTGAAAGTCTTTTCGACGGCCAAGGGAAATTAATTTGCCATTATCCATCAGAGTGCGTTATTTACACGCCGATTTTCGAAGCATATCCAGGTTTTCCTTCGTTGTTCGGTGCTCACTTAACTACACCACCGTCGAGAGTTAAACAACCTTTCGAAACACCGCGTTCCTTGCTAGACAGCGCTGAACGATTTAAACCAGATTTCTCCGAGAAACGTTTTTTCCTGATCTGTACTGTGTAGTACACAGATCTGTCAGGAAGGCTCGGAGATTGCCAGCATCGGCAGCTCCAACTGCGAGTACCAGAGGTTGATTACACTGGAACATGAGCATTCCGTCAAAGTGTAAGATCCAATTGTTCGAATTGGGGAAGGAAACAGCTCTTTTCACATGTAACTCAAAACAAAACAGGCTAAGCCCTGAAGTTCGATCGGAGGTCGTTACCGGAATGCTGGACGTGCAACCTCAGGTTGGTTTGAGGACAGATGTCAAGTGTATCTGAGTAACTGCATGCCGTACAACCGTACTGGTGTGGCATTCGTCTTACCCGTTTCATAGATACTGACACCGGTTGTCTGAAAATGAATCTTGGACCGAACAACGCACACCAGGAATGCAAATAAGAGCAATTCACTACTGAATAGACAAGTAGTCTTTCTTAGTTCGTGTTTTCGCGTACATGCTGATATGATTGCAAGGGTCGCGAAAAAGAATCCTTTTGATCGAAAAGCATAAACAACAGCCTGAAGTAGAAACACGAGGTCTTGAATTCAGAAGTTCATTGGAAGCCCACGCGCAATGGAAAAGTTGATGAAATGCTCATTTACCTGATTCAGCTTGGGAATGGCGAGGAATGGGCAGCCAATAGGTGTGGATATTTCAAGAGGAACTTAACAGCATTGGCTAGATTTCTTTTAATCTAATGAACCTTCAAAATCGCGCTGATGCGGAAACATGATCGGAAGTTGGAAGCAATCACTTGCTTGAAAACTTTGTTCTTTTGAAATGTACCTCAGTAGTGCTTTCAGACATTTGGCACTTCTTCACGAAATCAGCGTAGCAATGCAAAACAGGGTATGCTAAACAGATCAGATGTTAACTAATTTGACCGCAAAAGTAGTATGAATTGCATTGTGGGTTGATGCAGGTGTGCAAAGTTTCCGGATTTCTGACGAGACTCAAAAGCCAGAGAGCATCCTTCGCGGGTATAATCCGTAAGATCAAGAACATCCTTGAAGAACCGAGGTGAGTATAAACCATGGAGTAAAATCGATTCCATCGATTGCGAGATATACTCAGCCCACCAGTCATCCGGTTCACTACAAAGCAGTACTCATCGTGAATAGAGTTTTGGAAATTTCCCAGGTACCGCCAAACTGCCAGTTGACTGACATAATACCACCAGATTCTGACAGAAAAACGGCTGCAACGTGCTCGGAATTCAAAGGCTCACCTCAAAGGCAATCTTTAGGTAAGAAGCGCAAAATACACAACTCATGATGCTGGAAATTCTTCGATAGCCCACTATCCGCTTTGCCCTTTTTCCCGCCCATCTGGTAGGCGCAGTGCTTGAAACATCATCAATGAGAGATTCAGCTGGGTTCCAGGTGAGGATCTTGACAAACCAAATTGGTCCGCAAATGAGTGTACAATCAGCTATCAGCTTCCGGACCATAATTACGGTTTAGTTTTTAGTTTTCTAATTTAATTGTTTATTTCATGAATTCAGTTTGCGTTAATGCACGTCTGTGTATCCAGGAAAAGAAAATTCAGTTTGAGATTTCGGCGGGATTGACAATGAATGGTAGTTCCACGATGATGACAGAACCTCAACATTTTTGCTCCATTATGTTCGCACGAGTATGTAGTCAGATGCGTGTCATCTGTAGACATTTATTAGGACGCTGAGATTAACTGAGAGATTGGATTAACTGCAGTGTGCGTCCACGACGGGATCGCGACATTGCAGTGCGTTGTAATGTGTTGGAATCAGGTGCACAGAAAACCAGTCAAACAACACGGAAGCCGACCACTACGCAATACAGAGCGCGAACGGGCCAAACAGAAGAGACAATAATGGACAGTAATTTCAACCATAGGAAGGAAGGAACACAAACAACAACGCAACAAAGATCGAGATAAGATCGACCAATCAGTTTACAGCGATAAGACTGCTCTTTGTGAACTACAAAACCGGTGAGATGAAGGTGATTGGATTAACTGGAGTGCGCGTCCACGACGGAATCGCAACATTGCAGTGCTTCGTAATGTGTTGAAAGGAGGTACACCACAAACCAATCAAACGACAGAGAAGCCGACCACGATGCAATACAGACCACGAACGGGCCGACCGGAAGAGACAATAATGGATGACAATTTCAACCATTGGAAGCAAGAAACACAAACCATAACACAACACGGATAGCTAGGCACCAAAAATAAATTATTCGTTAGCGGACTCACCGATGAAGCCTGAATAATCATTCCATAGCGGACAAGGTTCGCCATCACAACACATCGTGATATGATACGCGATTCCATGCAAACCAGTGGTCACAAATCCCAGTGAAGCCTAAGTCTGTGTCCCCAAATCGGGACACAGTATCTATCAAGATTGTCAGATTCTTGAAAGCAACCTCAGAACGCCCGAAACCTACTGCTCCACGAAAAACTCAACAGGAAAGACGGCAAGCATTCAGGCCAATCAATCATTCAATCAATTCAGCAAAGCCTGATGAGTGTTCTGGCACGCCACAGAAGCACGACCAAATGTGATCAGCGTTCAGGCTTTTCACAGAGGCACGATCGATGTTGATAGGTGTTCACTAGTGCGTATCAGACAGCCTGGATCAATGTCAGAAACTCCCCTTTAATTAGCGGTGGGCGGTTGTAAGTTTTGCGCTCGCACTCGTTTGTTCGGAATATAGCAGCTGTTGTGTTACCTTCTGTGAGTCTTTTTTCTCCGGCATTAGGCACTGGAGCGGGTCAGCAGCAGATACCACAGGTCGGCGAATCAGCAGATATAACAGTATCTTCGATCAGACATCGAGCCTTCATGCAGCGAGATTTGCTCCCGAACAATCAACGGCTTACTGATAGCTGTGACCCTCCTAGGTTCCAGCCCCTGAAGTTTATCCATCACTCGGTTAAGTTGTTTACGCACGGAGTCAAACATTGACAGCGGTGACAAGTGTAAGGGGTATAACTTGTTCCGGTATACTGTAATCCGACAACCACTGTTAACGGATTGAGACCACTTTAGATTTTGCCCGAACAGTCCATTTGCGGTTGGTGTCTGTGGCCAAAAATACATAGATTTTATCTGATACATGCTTCCTGAGAGCATAACATGACACCGCTGCTTAAATTCACGACAAAAGACAGTACGGCATACTGTTTGTCTACCAAGACTCAGAACAAGATTAACGGTTTACGCATCGGGGCAAACTGTTCTCTTTCAACGAAGGAACGCATAAACGGACGTTCGGCATCCATGACGTCTGTGGCCAGGAAGGTGTATTGCTTGTATCTACAGATATACGTTGACAAATTAAATTGTTTTTGCAACAAACTCATCTGGAAACCAGCTGAATCTCTCGGCTATGATGTTTTAGGCAACTGAATGTGCTGCACGATATAGAATAAATTACGCCTCAGTTTGCTGTCGGAGAGTCTTCAGCAAATTTATGATTAGTGTATCACGTCTATACAGATATGCGTTGCTTTCGAAATACTCACCCAAATCGGTTAACCGTGCGAGTTCCATCGACATTTATCGAACCCGGGAAGCGTCAGAACCCAACAGGGATGGTGGACACCTAAAGCGGTAGAAGTATATGTCTTGAGTGATAAAGATCTTGTCGAATTCACCGGCTAAAAACTGTGGCACTTCACACAACGGCGTTTCGTACTTCAGCAGGGATCTGAGGTGCCCAACTCTTCTTCACCGGAATTCGGTCGAACAAAACCCGATCACCTTATGATGATGAAAGGTGACTACAAGATGTCTGCGGTGTCCCGTTAGATAAGAACGTAGTGTATGAGGTGTGCTGTTTGTAATTATGAAATGCGCTCAACTCAGTAAATTCTCAGAATCCTTCGACTTTTCGTTGGTTTTGCATTTGTAGTATACACACTCGTAACACAAAACACCGTCTGGAACCGTAGTACAGCGAATGTGAAAAATGTGATGCGTGCGAGAATAATTAGAACAAAATCCAACAAAACTCAGACAGCACACATACAGCAATATGCGATATTTTTACGTGAAAAAATTCATTCAGCAGATCAAAGTTTCGGGAAAACGAGTATCTGCCGGCTATGAAGGAGCCCATTGCACAAATATTGAGCTTCCTTGGCTTAGTGATGCTGCTAAACTTCAAAAATGATCTACATCCAAGCCAGTTGTTTTCCAGCTACCAAAGAAAAACTTAGCGACATCCAGAGCTTGCTTTTCTGTACACCATATCGGCTGCTTCTATGGGGTGAGTTATGTTAGAAATACAACTGCATGTCAATCCTAACGCGGTGGTGAACACTTCCTTCTATCTTCTGACAGTGGATCGATTAAAATCCTATCCTTCTTTGTCCGGTCCAACAACCAGCGAACATTATGATACTATTGATCACCTCTGCGGAAGATGCGTTCGGGGCCCATGTTTTTGGCTTGTTGTCATAATCCGGATGTACATGTGTGGTGCTCGGCACACAAATTAATGGTCAGAGCCTTTGGTTCATGTTGTAAAAACCTCGGATGGCAGACGCGCCCTTATATGTACCAGCAGTCTCATATATCAAGTGACAAGCATGCCCTATTTCCGACGAATTATTGTGATACCAACCTTGTACATCGCTTATAAATATCACTTGCATAATCGGCTGTACTAGTATTCATTTGTCAGTTGCTTGTATCTTAGCGGTATTTCCCTAAATACACAGATATGGAGATCGAGCTTCCTCTGTTTGATCAGAAACGACCCTATATATCAAAACAAGCTGATAGATTTACCTTCTCATGACATTTTAGTGTGCACTACTTTATTTTATTGACTCTGTCAGTCAGTAAAATTGATAATCACTGCGTAACGTAACAGCTTTCAGTTCTACCATTATCCCATCCTCTTTTACCAAGTGACGTTACTGTTGTAACACAAGAAGTTACTTGCTTGTAACTCATAAAACCCGTCAAGGTGTGAAATGAACTGTTTGGCTGAAACTATATTTCCGACCCACTAGTCAATTCAACTTACCTAAACAAAGAAAAGAATGAACGTTGCTTCCGTTGCCTGCTCCATCAGTCAGAGTAAGGAAACATCACAAAATTTATGCAGTCATCAAGTGCAGCGTAACACAAAAAGATTAAAAATGACGACCACTCATTTCGTACTATACAGGGTCGTTGAGGTGCTCACTATTCACCTCGGCACTTCCACGGGGTCCTGGTCTAATTTAACTGAGTAATAATCAAGAGTATCTGAATCAGGAATTTTCCTTAACCTGACAAACTAAACAACCAGAATAAGAGATTTTTTTGATCAAGAAGCAATGTGGGGTTGAAAATTGGTTTTGCTTACCTGGGAACGCCAAAATGCGAAAGTAGTTATCATATTCGTAGGTGTCTAACGCCTGCAACAATAAAAAAGAAGAGCAGAGTTAACACATAACAGTCGAAGCTCTTCCTGACGTCAAACTTGGAAGATATCTCATCTCGCCAAAGAAACAAACAATCACGTCAGTTGATCAATTTGTCGTTAAAACGTCAATGTATCAGGCAGTTTAAGTCACCCTGCTTCTAGGCTTTTCAGCTAAGCTTTTCACTTACAGGACGAAATCTGCACAAATATCTTGGAAGTGTACTCGACAGACAACAAAATTGAATGCAACTGTTCCACAACGCGGAACAGAGTTTGCGGTGTCAAGTATCCTTGCTACATTGAACAAACACCATAAGGCGAAATGCCAACTCAATGTATGAATGTTGCAGGAGCCAAGCGGAGAAGTATGAAGGGAAGCTCTATGATGAACAATGCGATGAGCCGAAATAAGGGTGAAACTCAAGTCCGAGACTTCCAACCTACATGATGTGAACAATTAGGCCATCCAAGGAGGACGACTGTTCAGATGCGAATGATGTGAACGAGGAGCCGGTCATTCCAGTGTAACGGTGATACTACTGACTGGAAGGTATGCGAGTAGTTTGTTTCACCGTAAATCCGCTTTGCGTCTCTTGAAAAGGGACGTCTATTGCGGAACATGGGGAGTCGCTTTGTAGCATTTGCTTGGATTTGAGCAACAGTCAATGAATATCCAGGAAAGTTCAGAAAGACGCGTTCAAGGAGAAGATGGATATTCAGTTTTTGTAAACAAGACGCAAATGAGAGATTGGCTTCCCCGTCCAATAATCTGTAACTTTTCAGTTGGCATTTTCTATTAAGTAACTCCTCTGCGAAGGCCTTCTTCCTTTCCCCAGTAGCACCGTAACTTTCAGTTGGCATTTTCTATTAAATAACTCCTCTGCGAAGGCCTTCTTCCTTTCCCCAGTAGCATCGTTCACTTGCAGACGCCCTTGCATGTTCAGAAGTGAAAAATCAGATGCGTCCAACGTGCGTTGGTGGAGTAGTGGTCGCACGCTCACCTCGCATGTCAGGTGTCCGGGGTTTACATCCCGGCACGGCCACTGGATATGCCCTTCTGATGAGCTTTAATAAGAGCGAAAGTCGAGTCCAGTGCTTCTCCCGCTTTGGTGTGGACTCATCAGAATAATTACCCCAGCAAAGTATGATAACGACACCGATGTGAATGTGAACATTACATATTCCACAGCCATAGCAACAAGAAAAAAATCACAGAATGAAAATTTATTGTGGCCATTTTATTACTTGATCGTTTGTAGTGCAAATATTTCCTTTGTAGTTTCCGAATCAGTGTTTAGTTTCAGTACATTGTGGGCACATTTAAAAAACCTTTTATTTCTGGTTATTGAACTTGCATCATCCGATTCTGAAAAGTTCACGCCTCAGCTTTTGTCGGAAATAGCGGCAAAACCATTCCAAGCTTTCTGAGCAAATAGGATAAGCTTCCTGAATCGCTGAACACGACCAAAGAATTTCGTACAGCTTTGTATAAACTTCGTCAGTAGCTGCTGGGTTAAGTGCTGGGATTATCTAACCACTGGTATTCGTTTGATTCAGTTTTTGGCCATTACCATGAGGGAGGCGACGCTGACCTCGATCTCACTTTGCTAGGGCGCCATTTCAGTCGCTGACCGCTCCCGGTGGTATTCGGAACCAGTTAGTTTTGGAGGGCCACTCACCACCTGTTACAGTCTTCCCTGAGCTGCCTAGTGAGCTTGCGGTATTCGTGATTTCCTGCCGACAATATAACATACTTTCATATTCAGTGGCAACGTAACACAAATCACAATTACGTAGAACTTGCTGGTTTTTGGGTTTAAAAGTAAACGTTTAGTATATTTTCATAAAGGAAACTACTTACTCGGTTGTGAGTAGTGAGGCGGCCTGTGTGCAGCACATTCAACTGGAGAACATCATAAACGAGAGATTCAATTGAGTCTCCCGTGAAAACCAAATTGATTTGCAGATGAGTGTATTTCTCGTAAACGTTTAGTACTTTGGAGATACATGACGATGAAAACATGCTCTCTGTTATTACTTGTAAGTAATGTACGGTAATTCAGGATTGCCTGCCAATGTGTCCTTCAATTCGGTTGATCCTAGATCACACGTGATTTAACCAACTCAGATAAAAAATTTAGGTGACAGAAACGGTCATGGGGGATACAGTGCAAGATGAATGAAAAACATCGTATTATTTATTCTTTCCGACGATGAACGGAAATCTGCTTCTCTCCAACTTACCACTATTGTCTTATGAGGTGTGCATTTATGGAATGAGAAACCGTGAGTTGACAAATTTTGCCACATGCGTACACATAATTCATCCAGTTGCCACCCTAATTTGAGCTCTTCAGTTTTGTCTTCCAGAAATCAGTGGAAAAATTGGACAGGGGTATGCAAACCTACGGTCCAACCGGTAAGTCAGCTGTCATTTTTTGGTTTAAATTAAACTATGAAAGTGGAGAAAGCATGCATCTAAAGACACAATCTCAAGTGGCTGACTAAAACCAATGGAATTTTCGAAGCAAGACAGGTTTTTTCGAAGGCCAGCTCAAGTTCGACAATCAGTTTAGTACTGAATATTGTCCCAACCAATAGTAAGTAAAAAGCAAAAATGATTTCCTCAAGCAGCAAGAAAGATCTTGATTGAGGCTACTGGTTCTTCTCCAATTTGGGTAGGAAGTGCGAGTGAGTCTTGGAGACCAGTCATCAGGTAGTCGGGTAAAAGTAAGCCCTGTCGGTTCAAGCTTCCACACAACACCCGAATTCGGGAGTAGCGGAACCTGTCAGTGGCAGATACTGTCTAAACTGGTTACAGCATAAAGCATAACTGAAACCTTAGATATACTTTAAGTTAGGTTTTTATGTAGGGGTTTTGCAAATCAATCATTGTGAGGTAGATAAAATCAATGTGCCCAAAATCGATAATGGTTTTTTCCAGCCTGGAACATTGATGGCATCTCATTACTGCAAAGGGATTCAACCACGAGGATGAGGCAACGGTCCAATGTGCTCAAATCACTGCATCAATCAGTGTGTCTACCGCCAAAATCTACAGCGAGATTCTGGTGACTACCAACCAGTCAGCTAAACATATTTGGGCAACAATGCATCAAACTGATTCCCGGGTCAGAGCAAACTCCACGGGTTTTCATTCTGATTACTACGAAATTGTACAAAATTTTCTTCCATTGTGTAAATCCTGCGGTAAAATTTATGTGGAGTAGCATATAAAACACAAAATACAAACAAAGAGTTGCATCCCGGTCTACGGTTTGCTCGGTGGTCACAAAAAACTTGAGTCGGTCTGTTGTTCGGGGATCGCCTAGCTTGTCAGTGTATCACGGCCGAAAAGTGAACAAAGCCTAACAGCAACTGCAGGTGTGATCGGTCTCTGTATTTACCCGACCATACATGATATTTTTGTTGGTCATGTATCTACGGATGTTTCGATCCACAGCTTGGCTCATTCCACGTCTGGTGATAAACGTGGAGGTCGGCTTTCCCAGATGTGCTGTTTATTTATTGATCTATGATAACAGCACTTATAAATAGGTTCTGAACTATCAAGGGTTCCGCTCTGCAGCATAAATTGTACGGCTTCGTCTAATGATCAGCATATCACCGTGACCGCATTCACGTTGTTTGGGCAAAAGATGTGGAACAAGCTCAAATCAATATCAATCACGCTCGCCGAAGCACATTACGTTGGTGTAGTGCCAGAGTTTCCCCCTACCTCATGCCACACTTTAAATCAAAGAAGGAAAGTGTCGTGAACAAGAGATTCGGCTGGGATTTAAGTGATTCTTCCGTGAAAACCAGATTGATATGGAAATTTTCGTTCAACCAGATTATTGCGCATCAAATATAGCTATTGAGATGGTTTTTGAGTAGGCAAGAATTCTGAGGAAAATGACTGTGGCCAATAGTACTGGTCATCATTTCGAATCTGTGGGGAATCGGAATGCAAGCTGAAACAACCTCTGTACCGTTATGGATGCCATAGGCTGCCCACTTGTGAATTATTTTTCACAGACGTGTTGTAGATTCAGTATCGCAATAATGCTACAATTTTGGAAACAACTTGAATAGGAATTGGCTGTGGAACACCATTAGTGGGTTTCAGTCCTTCCAAATACCCACATTTAAGTTACTTTGTTTAAAGTCATGCCCAGGAAGCAACCGGCGTTCATTTGAAAGTTGCAAGTTCGAAGGATGTTCCATTCGCGGTTAGGTCGTTTCTGATACCGCAAAATACGTTCACCTTGCTTGGTTCTAACTTATCTGGGGGATAAAAAAATCTTGGGCTTCTAATAAAAGAATCAAATAAATGGTCTGTTTTGAATGTTAACAAGAAGGTTGGCGAAAACTCTGGAAGGCTCGATTACTTTTCGGCTTTCTTCATAGTTTCAATAAGGTGTGCCTAGTCCTTGAATTTCTACTATGACCAGTCCACTACTCAAGTTTTCATGCCAAGTAATCCTAATCTTCTGGTTTCCAATAAACCTGTTGCTACTTTGAACACCAAAGCATTTATTCTTCATCAGTCAATGTCCCATTCAATAGAGAACAAAGAATATACACTAGAAGCGCGGTAGCAACGCACTCAAACTGGGGATGAATCCAATTTGATACCACCGGGACCATACGAATATCCTGTTCTGTTCGAATTTCGTGCGACTCATTATACTAAGCCGTTCACACGTATTGCAAAAATCAATATGTCACATAAAACGTGGCATAGACTATTATTTATGACTGTAAGTCTGACTTCCGATTTGGAGAGGATGAGTTTAGCTGGAAAAAAGTGGAATCGCGAGGCTCAAAATACCCTACAGTATGCCTCGTGGCATGAGGACGCCAAAACTCTGTCTCAATACAAGACAAATGGCAAATCGTGTTACCTAGAGAGCACCGTGTAAACAAAAATCATCTTTTCATTTTACTCGTGTCGTTCGGCCTGAACTGACCGTCCATTCATCTGAAAATAGGAAACAAGTAGATTTAAGTCTACCAAAAGACCTTGGGTAGGGTGTTCTATATTGAATGTTAACCAGAAAGAAAAGCGAAAACGATTAAAGGAATTCGGAATCGTGTCTCACAATGTCCCCCAGTCACTTTTCACTTGGCTTTTGGAGGTAAATTATCTAACCGTCCACAGAAACGGATTAATCAGGCACGAAGTATGTCAATGTATTCAAATTAAAAATGCTCACTTTGTCGTCAAGTCTTATGTTCGATGTTAACCGGTGTTCCTGTAGTATCCATGTGAATAAGCTTATGGTACCAGCTCGGCAATTGATCTCAGATTCATCTTTAACCGTCAACTTCGTTTGGTTGTCACCGCGAATGCTTGGAATTCGAGTGACTGCGTGGTTGATATCACCTATGCCAAACTCGCTGCATATTTTCAACTCACTCTTAGTATGACAAAGATCTGTTTGGCAACCGCTTTTTGCAATCTGTTAGCAGTCATTTGTCCGAGGTCGAAATTTACAGACCACTTCCTCCGACGATTCTTCAGATGTTTCTTCCTTGAATGGTGAGGAATGTTGTGTCGTCCGGAGGTAACCCGTCAACAAAGATCTGCAACCGCTTTTTGCAATCTGTTAGCAGTCATTTGTCCGAGGTCGAAATTTACAGACCACTTCCTCCGACGATTCTTCAGTTCAGATTTCCTTGAATGGTGAGGAATGTTGTGTCGTCCGGAGGTAACCCGTCAACTTGCGTAAGGAAGAAGCCAAAGTCGAGCACAGGAACAGGTCGTTTTTTTGTCGCTAAATAATGCGGTTATATACATCGGAAAATGGCAGGAATTGGCTGGGACTTGCTCTTCAACCGAATAACCAATAGGAAACAACAGTTATCCATGATCGGGTAGACAACTAACGAAATGCAACGACCAATGGAGTCACATGTGAGAGTGGAACGATGATAAATCAATAGGGGCTCAGCACGATGCAATCTGGTGGCTGAACATGTGATGACGACAAATATAAGCAAAATGTGAGAATTGATCAGAATCGATCAGTCCGTAGTTAAGACGAAATTTTTGGCAATTAACAGTTCGTTCTGGTAACATCTCCCCCTTTAAAAATTTGGTTACCTGGGCTATGCATAACTTTGTCTTCTTGGGTCAACCTGGAATGGTTGCACGAACCTTCGTTTTCGTTTCGGTCTCGATCCCCTTTCGTGCGGATTTGCATCGTCCCGCTTTTGATTCATTGTATTTGCTGCTCTGGTTTCACCTATATCCAACAACTGGTTAAGGCTCAGTTCCCCTGTATTCGGCGCTGAGTTCATTGTTGAATGGCGCATCTTCAACTGATTCGCATGGCGGATCCACCTTTTCTTTCCGACTTGGACGTCGTATAAGACGTTTCCACGGCGCCGCAGGATGCATCCAGGCTGCCAGGTTGTCCGATTGTTTCCAAAATCCAATGCAAGTACTGAGTCACCAACACGGAACTTCCTTTTGCGTGCACCATGATGTTGATTGAATTGATGTTCCATCTTATGATTCCTGACTTCTAATTTTGGTCGTTTAGGTCTGAATACTGGTTTGGCATCTGGTAACAGCGTCAATTTTGCTTGCATTTTTGTGCAATGGCCGAGTTTGGAATCGAAAATGTCTGCGTATCTTGAACAAAGTTGCTCCGTTGAAGTTACTCGAACATAGGTCGGCACAGCAGTCCGGCGTACATCAGCCTCGGATTGGGTACACACCTTGTTCAATGGCATGTCCAATAACCCCAAATTTTCAATCCAATCCATACCCATGAGGTTAATTTCGGCATTGGACGATACGAACAAGGTTCCTGAGAAACGTATACCCCGGAATTCCACTTCACATTCCATTTCACCGTCAAGATCCATTTGGTCACCGGATGCGTTCTGCGCCACCAATTCGGTTGGTTTGAGTATCGGACGTCCCAGCTTGTTCCAAGTATTTCGAGATACCAGTGTGATATCAGATGCCGTGTCAAGTTGTAGTTTCAATGAAACGTCATTGACGGTAACCGCTACGTATTTTCTGTACAAATTGAAATCAGTTCGAAAGGCTGCCAGAATAGCCTTTGTTTTGGACCAAGATCTTCGAAATCGGTTGGGCTTATGCTGTTTGTACGAGGGGGTTGGACGCACTCGTATGGGTTTGCGATTGGGTCGACAGTGTGATTCTTTGTGACCGATTTTCTTGCAGTTCTGGCACTGATGACTCTTGAATGGACAGAAACGGGAAAAATGCCATTCACCACACTGCCAACAAGCGCTTGGAGGTTTCTGATTTCGAGCAACATCGTGAGAATTAGTGTGCTTGACCATCGTTCTGCAAACCTGCGGCTCTTCCTGATGACCGGGTCTCTCGATCATTCTAGTATCGTGTTTCAAGTTTATCAGCCTTTGGCACTCGGCTGT